GCCTCCATTCTCTCTTTTATTCCATGCAGTCAAGCCCAAACACACCACCACATCCATCCTGAACTCTCATAAGCCAGAGATTCACAGGTCACCTTCGTCACTTCATTCAGGTTTCTATACAAACGTCCTCTATCTTGGCTTTATTTTTATTCATATCTCTTGTAATTCATTGACATTTTGTTACATATGCATAGATATGTTTGTCTATCATCTCTTTTATATTGAGAATATAAGCTTCACAAGGCAAGAAAATGCTCTATGTGGTTTCTTGCTAGTAAATATTTGTTAAATAAATAAATTCACCATATTTTCTTCAAATTTAATATTTTCACTTAACTGCTCTAGAACATTAAATACATTACCGGCTTACAATTAAAAAAATACATGCTGGATGCAGTGGCTGACGCCTTTAATCCCAGCATTTTGGAAGGCAGAGGTGGGAGGATTGTTTGAGCCCAAGAGTTTGAGGCTGCAGTAAGCTAGGGTTACACCATTGCACTCCAGACTGGGCAACCAAGTAAATCCCTGTCTCAAAAAAAAAAAAAAAAAAATACTGCACTAAAATAATGGAATGGAACTACAGGATAGTTTGACCTAAGGTCAGTAGCAACGACGTTCTGTCTAGACAGGGCCCTGAAGTAATCGAGAAAAAGAGAAAAATGTGTATACTTTTATTTTTTTATACTTTAAAATCATATATTTAAAAGCTCTATATGAAATACATTATACTGTACATACATTTGGAGATATTTTCTAGAAAAATGTATGTACTTTTATGTTTCTCGTTTAAGAAAGATGTACTACACATATATAGAAAACAGGATGAGTTGGCATAAAGATACAAATTGGTTTTTAACAGGGCACAGAATTTTCAATGATACTTTTTCATTGTTCTGCTTCTTTATTTTCAAATATTTTATTAATGATTAATTGTATTGTTAATCTATTATAGAAATACTAAAGTTGTTAGTTTCAGCTATGTTCTACAAACATGTCCAAATCATTTTGAATACTTTTACAGGGAAAAAACAATAGGATTTCTAAAAAGAGTGGCAGCCCAAAAACAATAGTCCTGCTACACACTGCTCTGCAGTCTACACATCAAGCAGTTTAGAACGGAACACACACGTGTCAGAAAGAAGTGAAGTGAATCTTTATGGCTACAACATGGCCGCTAGAAAAGTTGTAAGTCCAGCTCTGACACTCCCAAAAAGGCCCAGTAGCATTTTTTAAGTATGGCTTATCTTAGTGAAGAGAGAAAATGTAAATCAATAGGAGGTGTACAATAGGAATTATAAATCAGTTTCCTAATTAATTGACAGGTATGAACCCAGAATTCACTTCTACCACTCTGCATAATTTTAATTTTAGGTGACCTTATGACCTTATTATATTTTCTTTCCAAGTAAAATATAATGAAAATATTAAGTCTAATGGAACAAGATACTCTTAAGAAAGAGTATCTTGATACATTACCCTGAGTTTGCCTTTAGGACTTTAATCATCTCTACCTCTGTGTCATACCAAGATTTAAACATTTACAACTCACCTTCAATACAGGTGTATTTATTATGGCAAAGTTCCCCAAAGAAAAGGCAAAGTATAAAAGTGGTTATACATATGGTGATTTTTAGCCAGATCAGAAGACATGATTTCAGTGTGCTCAGCAGAGTTAGTAAATACATTTATATAGCAGTATTATAGGCCATAGTCTTCATTTCAAAGTTGGAGAATTAATGAGATTTTTCATTTTAACGTTTACTTAAAAACATGTAATGAAACACTTGTTGCTCTTCTTTTTCCCCTAAATTCCCAACCTCAAACCTGGTTACACACACACACACACACACACACACACACACACACACACACAAAACAGATCAAGGGAAACTTTTATTGAGTCAGTACACTTGAATGATATGCTATAATTTTCTCCTGCTGCGGTTTCTAATTATTATCTCACTTTTCAGGATACAGGATGGAGTTATTTTCATAGACCATTCATTTAATTACGTTTACTGAGCACCTACTATACATCAGGGACACAGAGGCATAGGCAGAGGGATTTTGTAATAACTGAGACAGAGAAGATCCTTGGTCTCATAAAGCTTATGTCCTAGTGCAGAATGATAGTCAAGGAACAAGTAAATCAATATCATTTCAAGTGGTAATGGGAGCTGTGAAGAAAATTAAGCATAGGCAGTGAATGCAGGGAGGTAGCTTTTTTAACTTGGATAGTCAGGGAAAGCTTCTCAGAGGAGGCGACATTTGAGCAGATTTTAACACTAAGAAAAGCCCAAGTGTAAGAAGATCTGGGAAAATAATACTGCAGGTATAAGTAACAGCAAGCGTAAAAGGTCTGTATTGGGAACCAACTTGGCATCTTCAGTGAATGGCTAGAAGTTACAGCTGTGGCATGAGGAAGAGAGTGGTAGGAATTGGAACTGGAGAGTTAATCAAAGGTCAGATCATGTAGATACTTTTTTATTTCATGACAAACTTTTGTCATGAAAATTAAAAAAGAAGAGACAGGGTCTTACTATGTTGTCCAGGCTGGTCTCAAACTAATGGCCTCAAGGTAACTGAGATTATACCTGCAACTGGCTCTTGTGATTATGTTTAGAATTTAGGATTTCTTTCTTTCTAGATGTGATGATAACTAGTGGAACTTGACTAAGGAGCGGTTTTATATTAATCTGCAGAGCAGTAGAAGCAGGGACACTAAGAAGTAATTAATCTTACTGAAAGATGATGCTGGTTGGGTGTGGTGCCTGATAATGTAACGACAGTGTTTTCAGGTCATTTGCTGCTGAAAAGTGTGACACAATAAGAATTGGCCACTGGGGTTGGGTAACACAGACATCATTTGTAACCAGAAGAGTGTTTTAGTGAAGTGACTGGGACAAACGCTTGAGTGGCATGTATGAAAGAGAAAATGAGGGATGAGAAAGTGAGGCAATAGGAATTTAAAACTATTAGAAGTTTTTCTGGTAAAGAAAATTAAAAAGCAGCAGGATTGGGGGATGTCAGGATACCTCTCTCTGTGTGTTTTTACTTTTTAAGATGAAAGCAATCACACATATTTGTATACTGATGGGAAACAACAAAATGGAAGGAGAAATGATGATGCAGGACAGAAAAAGAATGTGTAGAGGAATACTGTCTTTAAAAGGTGAAAGGCAGTAGGACCCAGTGCATAACTGGCAGGATTTACCTCAGTTGGAATATGGACATTATGTCCATTATAACAACATAGAATGCAGTGTGGATCCAAATCCTATTAGTTTAGGATTTGGTGGAAATCTGGGGTAGCTGTGTTTTCCCAAGAAAGTATTATGTGAGACCATAAACTGAGATAGAATTAGATATTTTAAGAGATAGAACAAGTTGTTTATTAATCATCTGGTAGAATGGGGAAAAGGTTTTTAATAGACAAATGCAATAGGATCACCCAAAGTGCTGTGCTCACATATAGTGTGAGATAAATTGATATGGTTGTATATGAAAGTCCTTGGGTGTACATACAGAATTTGCAGCTTGGCACATAATTGGAGTTTTAACAGGTAAGTAAGTTAGTCATTTAGAATGCTACTTTTAACTTCCTATTCATCAGCTTAATCAGAAGCCAGACTCCGTTGTTAATTTTCTGTGTCATGATAGCTAGACTTATGATTTCTTTTTGCTCAGTTTCTTTACGTGTAAAATTAATTATCAATGCTTTATTTGTGGAAGCAAATACAAAATAAAAATTGGCATGCATTAGGATTTCACTGGGAAAAAGATGTATAGTTTTGAGTTTGATATCAGACTATCCAGGTTTGACATTCTGGCTTTGTTATTTATCAGTTACATGGCCATGAACAAAGTTACTTATCTTCTGTGAGTCTCATCTTCTTCCATAAAATGGGGATAATAATAATACCTGTATTCAAGAGTTTGATGTTAGAAATAATATAAAAGCAACTAGCAGAGTATGTAGCATGTATCAAATAGTCTATATGCAATGTTATTAACATGATGATCATTACTATTAATAAAGGCAATTAAGCAAACTATACATTTAATAAAGTTGCTGATTATTATTGCCTTCTCTCTTTAGGTATTGCAAATGCTGTTTTTAATGGACAAAGCAGTCAAATATTATTCAGAAGCAATGGGAATATTACCAGAGAACTCACCAATATCACATTTGGTTTCAGAACAAGGGATACAAATGTAATAATATTGCATGCAGAAAAAGATCCTGAATTTCTTAATATTAGCATTCAAGATTCCAGATTATTCTTTCAATTGCAGAGTGGCAACAGCTTTTACACGCTGAGCCTGACAAGTGTGCGGTCAGTGAATGACGACCTGTGGCACCGAGTGACTCTTTCCATGGCAGACCCGCTGGCCCAGACCTCCAGGTGGCAAATGGAAGTGGACAACCAAACACCTTTTGTGACTAGCACAATTGCTACTGGAAGCCTCAACTTTTTGAAGGATAATACAGATATTTATGTGGGTGACAGAGCTATTGACAATATAAAAGGCCTGCAAGGGTGTCTAAGTACAATAGAAATCGGAGGGATTTATCTCTCTTACTTTGAAAATGTTCGTGGGTTCACTAAGAAACCTCAGGAAGAGCAGTTTCTCAAAATCTCTACCAATTCAGTGGTCACTGGCTGTTTGCAGTTAAATGCCTGCAACTCCAACCCCTGTTTGCATGGAGGAAACTGTGAAGACATCTACAGCTCTTATCATTGCTCCTGTCCCTTGGGATGGTCAGGGAAACACTGTGAACTCAACATTGATGAATGCTTTTCAAATCCCTGTATCCATGGCAACTGTTCTGACAGAGTTGCAGCCTACCACTGCAGATGTGAGCCTGGATACACTGGTGTGAACTGTGAAGTGGCTATAGACAATTGCCGGAGTCACCAGTGTGCAAATGGAGCCACCTGCATTAGTGATACTAATGGCTATTCTTGCCTCTGTTTGGGAAATTTTACAGGAAAATTTTGCAGGTAAGCATAAAGTCCATAGGAAGCGTGGTCTTTGGAGCTATTCTCTGCATCACTGTTTTTGTCAAATTGGAAAGCCGTCTCCTCAAGGTGCACATATATACTGTGCTGAACAGGGCTGACACTGGTCACTTCCATCACAATTTGGTCATGTCAAGATGGGATCTCACTTGCTGGGATATTCTACAAGTCAGAATGGTAGTGTTTAAATCAGAGTTTCAGCAAAATATTTTCTTAGTCATCTGTGTGAAAATATGTCTCATGAACTGTAGCCCCAGGGTCTGACAGCTTCAAGGCCTCGGGAAACAAATACATTTACAATAAAAGCAAAAGCTAAAATGTAGTATTGTTAGAGAAGGCATGACTTCTATTGGTAAAATAATGTCCTGGGCTATTTCAGGCAGGTAAATATTATAAAATCCCAAAAACACTACATTAAAGTATACAGCTGACTCTTGAACAATGCAGGGGTTAGAGGTGCCGACGTGTAGTTGAAAATCCACATTTAACTTTTAACTCTCCCGCAACGTAACAACTATCATCCTGGCTGACCAGAAACCTTAATAACATAGTCGATTAACACATATTTTGCATGTCATATTCTGTATTCTTACCATAAAGCAAGCTAGAGAAAATAAAATGCTCTTAAGAAAATCATAAGAAAGAGAAAACATGTTTACTATTCATTAGTGGAAATTGATCGTCATAAAGGTCTTTATCCTCATTATCTTCATGTTGAGTAGGATGAAGAGGGAGAGAAGGGGTTGAGGCTGTCTCAGTGGTGGCAGAGGTGAAAGAAAATCCACATACAAATGAACCTACATCATTCAAACATGTGTTGTTCAAGGATCAACTGTAATTTCAAAACAGTGGAATTATTATTCTCAGACAAATATAAAATAAACATGTTTCAATGGTTTTGTCATTAAATAATGAGGAAACTAGTAAGATATAAAAACTAATTCAAAGGACAATCTAAAGAATATGTGTGTATATGTGTGTATATGTATATATATACACACACACATATATATACAGACACACAAACAAGAATGAGTGATGAACTTATTAATAAATATAAAACTGTTTAATATCCTATAGGGCAAGAAAATTTAGTATTTCTTGCCTATAGGGCAAGAAATTTTAAGTTTTTCATGTCTTCTATAGTGTGCTAATCAATTGTATGGCTGACTACAGATAAATTCATTTGCATTTTGATGAACAAGATTTTCATATTAATACTGTTTTCTACGACTTACAGAATTGTAATATTGCTTAGCAAAAAAATCGAAGCATAGATCACTGCAAAAGTGGATAATTCCTAGATGGTCCTTTACAAAAACCCAGCATTGCATTGAAAGAATACACAGTGATCTTCTTTCCCCATTTCAAAGTATTTCACAATTTTTTCTACAACTACAAAAGCAGTATTTTAGTTCTTGTAACCACCTCCATTTCAAGCTACATAAACAGATAAGAAAGAATATTTTTCTTCTAAGTCACATTGCTTCAGTTTTCCGTGTAAGAAGTCATTATTGTTTTTACAACTTACACCACTTTAAATTTACTAAATAATTGAGTCATTATGGGGAGGTGAGAGGGTTATTATTAACAAGTAATACATTCCAGGACTTCGGCAGGAACACCTGGAATGGGTTGGCAGCCTGTAGACATTACACTAATTCAGAGGTGGTACCTTAATTGCATGAATCTCCTAGCAAACATAACATGTAGGCATACCTATAAGAAGTTGTACATCTCTCTGTAACAGTTACGGTTGTTCTGAGCCTGAGAAAGCAAGGCACCATTATAGGTGCTAGTGTTCACAACAGGTTACCTGCCTGTTTAAAAGCAAGAAGAATTTGGGATCAAAATCAGTACACTTCACTGTGACTTTNATAGGCCCTGGCAACTAGTTCTCCAGAATTTTTTTCTGCCTAATTCATCAAAGTCAAGTTCTCAAAGACTAAAACCCTCAAAAGTACCTTCTAATGAGATTCAGGAATTGTTTATTAAAACCAAGATGTATACCAAGCTTCATATTTGCATTGCTAATTGACCTCTTTCAAAGCTGGTTGACATTTTTGGCTCTTTTGAAAAGCCTTTATGCTATCTTCTTTGTAAAGTAGAATTGATTAGCTCATGTGGGAAGAGACACACTTGGCATCAAATAAGCTAGTCTATCCACATTAGCAGCAGCACACACAACAGGAATAAAATTCATTTCACATTTCCTGAATATTTATTATTGATCTGAGACCATGCACATATACAGTGGGTCAAACCCTAAGCAACACTATTAAAATCTTTTTAAACGGCAATCAGGTCATACTACTAGATTTTGTCTTATGGTGAAGTTCAGCTTAGCTTCTAACACTTGTTCTGCCTTTTATAGGATTCCCTAACATGTAAAGCTTCGTTGCCATACAAGAGAGCCACACTCTGAATTCACATGCAGTTACCATCGTGTGCTATATACAAAGCTCCTGGACAGCATTCGGCTTGCATTCTTCGAAGCTACAAATTATTACATAGGGAGCAGCAAGTCTTGGCAGGGCAACTGGAGTTCAGCTCCGAAAGCCAATAGAGAAATCACATGAGTGCTTGGGTACTAGACTGCTGTCCTTGCTTTCCCGGCCTTTATAGAGATGCAATTTTCCTCCGGCCTTCATTGATTTATTAGCAAAGCAGCAGCAAATCTAGTTATAGCAAGTTCTTTTGCAGCCCGAAATTTATTGCCACCCCGTGGCAAAGATCTTATCTCACAAATGAAAACTGTGTAGAAATGAAAACTGTAAAGCCATGCTGGTCACAGTACCCTCCAGCAGGAGCCTTTGACTGGAGAAAGTGATTCTTGTATAATGCAGCACAATTAAGCATTTATAGCTCCTCCAGCCTGAGTACTTAATTAGCTTGGTGTTGACTACATGCATGAATTTATCAAAAAAAGTTTTCTTGAATGAAATAAACAAGATGAACAGCTGTGGCTTTTGCTTTTATCTCTCTAGACAGAGCAGATTACCCTCAACAGTCTGTGGAAATGAGAGGACAAATCTCACTTGCTACAACGGAGGCAACTGCACAGAGTTCCAGGCTGAATTAAAATGTATGTGCCGGCCAGGTTTTACTGGAGAATGGTGAGTCACATTAGAGCTTTCTGGAAGAGAATTCTGGGCTAAAGAATGATGGGATCACTCAAAGTTCATTTTCTCTTCTAATTTTTTATCTCAGTTCCCATAGGAAAATCTATGCTGAAATAGAGGTTCAGACAGAGTGAAACAATAAAAAAGAAAAAAAACTACAGTTTAGGTCAAAGGAGAGAATGTTTTATTAGCCAAGACTTCAAATAGGAAAAAATGTTTTTTAAAAAATGCATAATGTGCTATTTTTCTTTCTTATAAGTACTTCTGAATTCACATCTTTTTTTCTTACTAAAACTCTAATACATGATGCAAATATGGTTGCTGTTGAAATAAAATAAAATGCAACTAAAAGATTGCCTCATAGAATTGCCTGCAACCTGGAAGTATACGTTATCCATATGATTCTACTTTTCCCAGAGAAATCCTTCAACTCTTCTTCACTTAATACAGGAATTCTTAAAATGGAGTTGGTCAATGGCTTCAAGCAATCTGTGACCTGTTGAAAATACTGGAAAACTGGAATATATATTCGACTGGCTAGGGGTAAGGTCAAGAATAGAAAGAATGCATACTGCATAGCTTTTATCAGCTGCTCAAAGGGATCTATGTCCTCAAAACAGTTATGAACCAGGACTCTATAGAATACAGATACTATGTAAGTAGGTACTAAATAGTTAACCTTGGTTTAGCACTGTGCCATGCACCTTACAAATACCATCTCTAATTCTTATAGTTCTGTAAGGACGGTTTTATGATTTTTATTTTGCATATGTGTAAACTGAGGCTGAGAGGTTAAGTGACATATAAAGGGTCAATCCACATATATGCTGCAGTAGGATTGAGCTGCCTTCAAAGCCTCTGCTCTCTGTTTGATGTGCTGGCATAACTGTATGAATATAAATCTTTGCTCACCACAATTTTTTTTTTTAAATGAGAAAGGTGTTCTTCCATCTCATATATCATTCAGGGTAAGACACAGTGATCTCTGATCAAACTTCCTACATTGAACAAATTAAATAAATGAAACTCAGACATATTTAACAAAGAGATTTCGACTGAATCAATATTTCCCATAGGCATAGTTGATAAAATAATAGATATGTGAGTGCTCCCTGACAAGTACCCTTTGAATTAATTTAAATTTTCTACTTTTTAGCTGGCTCTTTTGCATCACAAAGATACAGATCTTTTGCCATTTTTACAAAACCTCAGAGAGTCTAGGGTATGCCTGCATTTTACCATTCTAGCGTTCTTTTTTATATGCAGCCTGCCTTCCGTGGTTGGCTGTAATTGGCACAGGCATTCCAAGTCTGTATGTACATGGAAGGAGATAGGTTTGAGTCACATTCTATTTTCTGTTGTACCAATTTTTGTCATGCAGCTTATTAACTGAGACCATTCCGTTGTCTTCCAATTCAATGTATGTTCAGAATATTGCAAATATTTTCCTGTCATTAATTTTGAGTAATTCAACTATCATCAATTGCTGGTTGCTTCCTGGTTGAAGGTCACAGTTTCTGCCTAATGCCACAATGCACAGAACTCATCCAAAACCTTGGATTATTTTTCTCTGCCACTCACACATTATCTCTATTTACAGCAAATATTTCTTTGTCCTCTGATGTTTATTAGTTTACAACATTTATATTTGGCATTTAAACTCAAATTAGTTTTGAAATGTATAAAGAAAAGAAAGCTTAGAATTTTCCTTCTTTTCTCAGGAGACTTTTCAACTGGAAGACCTTCTGTAGTGCTAGGTATTTCTGAAACATTGGACCTGGGTTCAATAGATTCTGTACTTCCTAAGTCCTTAACCATCGTTAGGTAATTGACTGGATGTTAATGGGTTTATGTTTACTTTCTATCCATTAATTAACCTCTAATAAGCACTCCAATGATGCTGATAATGCATGTGTATCTATTGTTGGCTCTTTAGTTCAACAGAGAAATAGGTGAGAAAGTCATGGAGCAGATAGAGGAAGACAGAAAATATTGGGTAATCTCCCTTGGTCTAGGAAATGTGACTTCCATTGCATCCAAGAATATTGAAAAGCTATCCTCAAATAAATTGGCTTCTCTCCTGCCTTAGTTAAACCTCCAACTTAATAGTGTCATACTGGCAGGTTTTGAATGATGGATGGTGTAAACACTCTGGCCCACCCAGGACCGAGAATGCTTGGCAGGCTCCTGAAAGTTGTCAAGTTTTGCTCAGATCTAATCAAAGAAGTCTCCCTCCAGCCCAGAAGCATAAGCCAAAAAAGAAAAACAAAATGTCTCAGCTATGGTTGGGATCCAACGGGATAAGGAGCTGTTTTTCTTGGAAGAAATCTTTGTTTTCCTTTATACCTTGGGCTGGCCTGGCCTCACTACCTCATCCCCTTTCATTTTGAGCCTAGTGATTAGTCTCTGACCCATACGTGCAAGTTTTACCTTTTGGAAGGTGAGGGAAAAAATAAGGAAAAATTAAAAATTGTTTACATCAAATTTCAACATTATAGGCTGCACTGTAGAGATCTTGAAGCTAAGATTTTATACAAATTTTCAAAAGTAAAATAACTGTCTTAGTTACTATTCTATCCCAAGTTCCTAGCAAAGTGTTTGGTACATGGTATGTGTTAAATAAATATCCACTGAGTGTCTGAATACATGATTGGTGACTTCATCAATTAATATACAGAAAAACAAATTCTTGGTGGAAAGTTTGGTTAAAAAAATGACAGTATCCCAGGAAGAAGAAAAATTCGATTTGCTGGAGAATTGGTGTCACTCGTTTTAGAAAATTTAGCTTTTGAAAGTCATTCTACCTCAACATTTCAGAAATTATGCTTGCCTATCAGAACACAGATTTTTAAGCAAGAACAATCTTCTAATTATCTATGTTTTGCTTTTGTTAGAAAAAAAGGGAGGATTTCCATAGAAAATAATTCAAAATCTCTCAGAAACCCTTCTCTTTTTCTGTCTGTCTGTGGTGGGCTTTCCCCCTTAGCCTGAGGGCTGTGATGCATGAGGATCCTAATAGCCTGAATGTAGGTCTGCACTGCAGACTACAGATGGCAAAATAGAGCCTCTCTCCTTGTGCCCCTAATAAACTGAACATTTACACAAGCTGGCAACCCCACTAATGCTCTTGAGCGTGACACTGGTTATGCATGGCCCACTCTTTCTTGGCTTCTAAATATTTGCATCTACTTTCTCATTCTAATTAATTCCATGTGTATATGTATACATATGTGTACAAATTATTTCCGTTAAACCCCAAATGAGTTAAAGAAATTCTAAGGAACATCTCCAACATTACCAAGTATATATAAAGCATGTGTGGATTGGTAGATAACAGCTGTGCTGTCCCAGACAGATATGGCAAACTCTTTCTTGCCATTTCACAAGCAATGTATTCAACAGGGTCCTGGGTTTCTGCTGTTCTGTTTATTTTCAAGGTGCGAAAAGGACATTGATGAGTGTGCCTCTGATCCGTGCGTCAATGGAGGACTGTGCCAGGACTTACTCAACAAATTCCAGTGCCTCTGTGATGTTGCCTTTGCCGGCGAGCGCTGCGAGGTGGACGTAAGCGACCTCTCCTTTTATGTCTCTCTCTTATTTTGGCAGAATCTCTTTCAGCTTCTTTCTTACCTCATTTTGCGCATGAATGATGAGCCAGTTGTTGAGTGGGGTGAACAGGAAGATTATTAACATGTATTTGAACATTCCCAAATGAAAAAAAGCCATTGAATTTCAAGAAATGCCTTGATTCGTTTTAGATCTCTGGGGAAAAAAGGAAAATAAAAACCATCTTCACAATTAAAATAAATTAAAATAAATTCAAGGCTTATTTTAAGCATATCAGAAACCCTTTGTATATAAAATATTTTCCTACTCTACCTTGAAATATGAAAAATTGTTCTTAATATAACTAGAAATGTCTCCTTATTAAGTATATTTAGTACAAATATATTATCATTCTTAACACTTCTATATGTGAATTATCATTGCAATTAATAAACCATTTTTCCCATTCCATTTCTGAGTATACATATTTTCACACTGTAAGTTGCCTCAATGACTATGATTCTATTTTCATTTCTGTTGTGTCATTCTTACCTATTATTTATGACACAAAAATTGAGAATTACAGTCTGGGTGTGGTGACTCACGCCTATAATCCCAGCACTTTGGGAGGCTAAGGACAGGAGTTCGAGACCAGCTTGGCCAATGTGGAGAAACCCTGTCTCTACTAAAAATACAAAAATTAAGCAGGAGTAGTGGCGTTTGCCTGTAATCTCAGCTACTTGGGAGGCTGAGGCAGAAGGATTGCTTAAACCAAGTAGGCAGATGTTGCAGTGAGCCACGATCACACCACTGCACTTCAGCCTGGGCAACAGAGCGATACTCTGTCTCAAAAAAAAAAAAAATCATCAAGAATTACTGATTATATCCATCTATGTTTTTATATGAAACTATTCAGTTGAATTGTTGCCAGGTCTCTGATAGGTGATACATTTGTAAAGAGAAATGAGGAATTTACATCAAGTCCCTAAAAATGTAGAAAAGCTATTTCTGGTATCAATAGTCAAATTATACCTTGCCAGTATAATTTCTGATTCCATAAAACTCTCTCTAACAAAGGTACAAATAATCCTTTCTCTATTTCTTTTTCTGCAATACTTTCCCTTTTCCTAACAAACAGAATAATTTTTTATTAATTGTTTCTAAATTTATGAGCTTGTTGACTTTTCAATCAAATGAACTAATTTCAGTTGATTTTCAATGAATATTTAATAAAAATAAGAACTGTAGTCTACATGTAAATTTATAATTGTAAAACTTGAATTTTCTTAGAGCTATGGTTTTCTAAGATTTGCAAGTGCATTAATTTTCTTCAAGTATCTTTCTGAAAAAAGTATAAAAACATAGTATACATCATAACCAAAATATATTTGACATTCTGATTTTTAAAAATAAACATATACCTGAAATGATGGATCTATAAATTAATAAGATATGCAAAAATTAATATAGTCTTTATTATAAAGATTACAGAGATCATAAAATAATTGGAAAAACTTTTGTAAATGTTTTTATTCTTTCCACTATTGTGTTATCATTTATGCTAAATATCTTTGTGTAGATATACTCTTCCAAAGAAGACATTATTTGTGTTCATTTAAAGGAAAAATAGTTTGGTCCTGTGAATTAATTCAGAAAGCAACTAAAATAACAATGGCCTGCCAAATGTCATTTTGTAAATATGATTTGAATATGTGAGGATAATTTATCCATTGGGTGATATCTATTCAGTCCCAATTGTTTTAAGGAAGTTGTTTTTCTGTGGGAATGACCAAGGTAAATTTAAATATACCATTCAAACAAACAAGGACAAAATAATATCCTTGTTATAGAGTATATGTAGCATATAGTGTAAAGTAATATACTACAAAAGCAAAGAAAATGTATTTTTATCTTGCAATAGTAATAGAAGATTTTTATGCAGCAAATTCATATCCTTTAGAGTAGTGGGAATGATTTCCAACTGGGAACAATTATTTGTGAAGATTCTCCTTTTTACTCATCCATTTTCTTCATGTCCAAGGCTGCATGTGTGATGCTGCTGCTTCAGATGACTTGTTCCAAATTAGATTTGTGACAAAAGACACGGGGGAAAACGTCCCATCAATATTTGCATTCATAAGTATTTGCGATGAGCATAAAATAGATTATAGTCAAAGACCGTATGTATAGTTTTCACATTTACTCCCATCTAGGCATATCTGTACTTACGTACCTACAGGCTGTTCCAAATGTAATACGTTCTCTACCAAATATGGTTAAGAAATATTCACTCACAATTTCTCTGTACAATTCTGATACCTCTGTTGTCGCTGTAATTGTCAGTTGCTTTTCTGTTTTCCAAATGTCTTGTTGTCATGAGATATCTGACTTTTAAAAATGTCCCTTTTCTTTTTATTCTTCTGTATTTTCAACTGCATGTGTGTGACTATGGCTTTTACTATTTGCACAGAAAAATAAAACCTTTGTTTCTGTATCTTCTCTTTCTCATCTTCTAATGGTACTTGTATTTGTTGGCCTTGACTATGTCTTGTATGGTAAAATGTCCACCACTCATGCATATACACACACAAACAAATACACACACACATACCACAGAAGTACTAGTACTGATCTTCCTAAACCGTGATCTCTTTCTGCGAAAATGTCACTGGGAGTAAACCCTGTGGCATCCAAGTGAAAGTTGCATGTATGTTTCCTCTCTGGCACAGAATCCCCTAGTTGGCATTCTAAAGTTGATTACAACCCTAACTGTTCTTATTATTGGTTCTAAGGAGGGGCTGTTTTACCTAAATGACAGAAATTTACACTATCTCCTCCGGACCAAGCTTCTAAAACATAGCCTATATTTACTTGAATAAAAACTAATTCCATTTTGCTCCATTTTTCATATTTAAACTAAACAGGGCTATGTCTCTACTTTTGGCCATGCCTCTTTCTTTGTGTGTGTACATGGCAAGTGGGTTTTATCACTCTGCTTTTTGCAAACTAGAGAAGTGGAGAGAATAGGCACATTTGGAAAAATCCGTGTGTGAGGAGCATGGAGAGACAATTAAGTTCAATTAACACCACTGAGGACTTACTTTGTGCCAGGAACTGTGATAAGCCATTTTTGAATACATTATATTTTCAATTATCTTTTTTCAATACAAGGTCAACCAAAATTTTTTTACCTTCCAAATTCTTCACTAAATTTTCTTAAAAGATCTTTTGACCATTTCTAGGTTTTAAAATGGAAACTGTTAAGCTTTAATTTTGCAGTATTAAAGTGAAACTTTTTCTGAAAATGGTGCTGCATAAAATTTGAGTTTAGTGAGTTAGGTAGGAAATCAGTGAAGAAATCTGTTTCTCAACTGCCAATATTATTGCTAATATAAACTATGTTACTTCTCTGCTTTTTTTATTCAACAAATGTTTAATGCATATCTACTATTTGTCATATTTTATACTAGGTCATGGGAATAGAACTATGATTTAGACCCAATGCTTGCTCACAGTAAGCTGAAGTTATGGCAAAGAATGTGGGTAAATAAACAGCCTTAGGAAGTAACTAAGTGACAGCTGTAAGGGAGCATACGGGAGGGCCATTTTGTTCAGGCTTACAGGTGGATATCGAAGGTCAAGGCAAGTTTCCTGAAGCCTAAGCTAAGACTCGAGGGAGTTAGGCTGTGGGAGGAGCAACGACACAGCACAGTGTGTTTCAGGCGGAAGGGGCCGCCGACGTTGTGCTCTGTGGCAGGTGGTGTCACAGGAGGACAGTGCTGAAAGATTGGGCTGTAGAAATAAGCAGGAGTGAGCCCTTATAAGCCTTGGCAGAGACCTTGGTTTTTCATCATAAGAGAAATGGAGAATCCTTGAAGGGTTTCAAATAAGAAAAATGTCATGATTATACTTGCACTTTACAAAGATCACTTGGGCTTCTACATACAGAACAGCTTAAAAGGCAAGACTGGACCCAGAAAGACACGGTTAGGAGGCTGCTGCAGTGCTGAAGAAAAAACGAGATTTTGCACTACTGTATGTAGTTTAGAGAAGATTCTAAATGTTTGAAGCATGGTTGTTTGAGAGAAGCTGTGGGTCTAAGGGGGTGATAAGTTAAATTTGGTGAATAATATTTTTAATATCTTTGTTGACTGAATAAATGAATAAATTTAAGATCTGTTGGATATCTAAATACAGTTATTAATCAGTGTGCATATTCCATTCTGGAGTTCAAGAGGTATATATGGGTGTATATATTTGAGATATATTTATAGATCTATTGAGTTTTATATTCCATTGTTCGTATATGTAATCCATTTGTATTATTTCTGTATTGCTCTAGAATAATAGTACTTCAAACTTAGCAACTTAACACACACATTTATTATCTCACAGTTTCTGTGATCAGGAGCCCAGGCACAGTTTAACTAGGTCCTCTGCTCAGGATCTCACAAGACAGCATTCAAGGTGTCAGCCAGAAATGTGGTCTCATCTGAGCTGAACCAAGGAAGGATCCACTTCCAGAGTGAACTCAGGGGTCCAGTTCACTGACGTTGATTGCAGAAGTAGCCCTCATCTCCTTGAGGTAGCCCTCAGCTCCTTGCCACTTGGCGCTCCCTACCATGGTTGTTTACTTCCTCAAAGCCAAAAATGGAGGGAGAGATTCCAGCAAAATCTATGTTACCATTTTATGTAACGTAATTATGTAATTGTGTACATACACTCACATATATCCCCTCACCTTTATCATAGTTTGTTGGTTAAAAGCAAGTCACAGGCTCTGTCTACACTAAGAGAGAGGGGCACACAAGGTGTAATTACCAGGAGGCAGGGAACCATGGAGGTCTACTTTAAAATGGTATCTGCCAGCCAGGTGCGGTGGCTCACATCTGTAATGTTAACATTTTGGGAGGCCTAAACAGTAAGATCACTTGAGTATAGGATTTCCAGACCAGCCTAGACAACATGGTGAAATCTTGGTTCTGGAAAAAAAAAAAAAAGAATTAGCTTGACATGTG